GGGGGTGTGGATGTCCTTGATGCTGTCGCGTTTTATTGCCGCTGGCAATTGGAAACTGCATTGCTTATGCAGATTTCAATTTCGATTTGTTGTATGAACTGAACGCAAACGCCACTCGAATTCCAAAAGGCATTGAGAATTGAAACAAGCGACGGCGAGGCAATACATTATTTGCCAAGTTTATCGCCGAACTTCCGCTGCAAAATAACAAAATCATTGCCTGGCAAACAAGAGAGAGATGTGCATTTGAAGTCAAAGCAAAAAAAAAAAAAGAGTTGAGATGGCATAGAACAGGCAACCGGAAACTCAATTTTCAGGACAAGCCAAGCCAGCAGGTCCTTCGCTTTTCACTCACGACTTTCGCTCACCTTCTCACCTTCATACTTTCCCTGCTCGACGACAACACATTTAAGTACTTAAAAGTTTTCCGATTCCATCCGCCATGTTGCCACACTTTTGCTTTTGTGCCCTGTGTGCCTTTCAGCTGGAGTTTTCCTACCATTTCCCTTCTGTTTGCCGTCTTCACTTGGCGGCGTGAACGGAAAGTAACGAAAAGTGGCCAAGGCAAGAAAACAATTGAAGCTCGTAATTTCAACTTGAATTGATATTGTTTTTCCTGACTGCCATTTAGCCTTCCCCCTTCACTCACCTTCAAACCAAGAACCTCCTGCTGCTATTCTTGTTTTTGTTTGCGAAACAAAGTAAACGGGAAATGCCCAAACACACAAAAACACAAAAAGCGAGTGGGTACAAGAAAAGCGGAAGGATCCTTCGCTGGCAGGGCGATAACAATGTATCACAAAACAATAACTTCAATTAGTATCTATCTGTGTGGCACGGAACCTCGGGCTCAACACCCCCGTCGTAATTTCCTTTTTCCCGCCCAGGCAAAAGTTTTCCGACCAGCCTTGATTATGTTAACACAAGCAAAACTGATTAAAACAGGTCCTGATTAGCCGCCTCCGTCACTCTTGAAATTATGAACCAGGAACTTGGACAGTATCGGCCATCAAATTTATGGGGCAAGTCGAACTGGATAAATCATCGGGGTCCCAGTGGATACATTCCCCGTTGAACCAATAATGAAAACAAATGTCTGGCATATGACACTAAATGCAATAATGTTGATCCCAAAACAGATCCTTGGTGGCGCAATTTAATTTATTGACATTCGACGCTTTGACATTTTATTGCTCCCCAGACCAAGTTACAACCATTGTCCGCTTTCCCAATTTCCGCACTCCCCATTTTCCTTCCGGGTTTTCGCCGTCTTTTGGCCCTCTGTCACTTAATTTGTCAAGCTGCTCGACGCCTGGTTTAATTGTTTATTTTCTCCTTTTATTGACAGGCGGGATTTTATTTGGGTTTCTTAGTATACTCAAAAATTAATCGAGCTAAATTTTAGAAAATTTGGAAACATTTGATATTTATTGTGTTAACTTCAAGAGGTTACCTACCCCAAAAAAATGAAGTAAGTATACTACTTACAAAAAATGTTTTTCTAAAATGCTAAAACAAAATTCGGCATTGACTAAAATTAAATACATTTCTTACTACTGCTTTGTAAAAAATGAATTTGACATTATTTTAAAGAATCCCCTCCCCATAAAATACACTTTTGCCAACGTTTTTTCCAATCCTCGAAACAGTCCTAATAGTCCCTTTCCAGTAAAGCCTTCTTCTTTTTTTTCGTGGTGAAATTGCTCATAATTCTGGTCTTTTTAGACGAATAATATTTAAAAATAATAATAATAATTAATTAATTCATATTAACAGTTTGGCCAGGAAGGAATTCATAGTGCACCACACCACTAAAATAAAATCATACTAAATTAATTTTTTTGATTTTCTAAATCTTATGGGGAATACTTTTTTGAGTGTGTCATCGATTCTCTGTAGCTTTTAACAAATGAGTTTTTTGGTGAACAAATGGCTTTGATTTCCTGTGTTCGGAAAGTTGTTATCTTTTGCTGGAAAATTATGTCATTGGAATTCGGCGAGCAGCGACTAAATCACATCTTGAGGACAATATCCAATGGCCTGTTGCACGAAGTCAACCACACCCAAGTTTTTCTAGTTGTTTTTACACAAAAAAAGGTAAGTTTTTCTTGATTTTTCTATTGCCATTGGCCATAAAACCCAAGACACGCCAAAGGCAGTGAGGAAAAACAGAAGGACATAAATTCCAGGTCTAATGTCCAACATCCCCATCGGCATTGACACATAGGATGCGTGTATGCAGGCAAGGACATTTGGACATTGGAAAGCAGGACTTTGGACTTGGGACTTTCAACTTGGATCCTTAGACCCACATATGCGAAATCTGATGAAACTTTGTGTTTATTGTGCCTGGCTGCTGGGGAGCAAAAGAAAAGCAGAGCTCAAAAAATGTTGGCCAAACTTGTGAGGAGCAAAAGCAGGACTGCCTGATGTCCTTGTCCACCGGATTGTCACTCGGGCGGTTATCCAGATACAGATACTTGTACCAGATATACTGCCAAATCGATGATAGAAGCGGAATGGACACGAGAAAACAAAGGCACATATCAGCTGGCTCGGTATGGACAGCTGGAGATCCCATGGAAAAAAAAGAGAACCCAAATGAATTGCCATCGCTTTGGTCGCTCAGGTAAATCAATGTCCTTTTGGCCACAAGAATGCCGCAAACTTTTTGCCCGGCACGCCTGCTCCGCTAAGTAATTGAACTTTTATCAAAAAAATGCACGCAGACAAGCAGATGGACTGGGCGGGGGAAAATCGAAGGAAAATGTAGGGAAAATCTGGGGGAAACCGGAGGTAGTTCTGCCAACTATGGCCCAACAAGCGCCGAGAGCAACCGCAACAAGAAAAGCACATTATGCTTGCTGTTGACAAAGGCCACTTGCCAATCTGGATGAGCAGAAATTGGCGAATAACTACTGAAACGTGAACGCCGAACGATGAACGATGGTGGCTGGGAAATTGGGAAATGGGAAATGGGAAAGCTCAGCTAATCCCGGTACCCCTAAGCCTCATTTTGGTTTCTATCCGAATCTACAGAGACTGAAACTGAAATATATCTATGTGCTTTTCCTAGCGGCAATTACTTATGTATCTGCCAATTAAAATGTTTATTTTTTGAGTGAGGAAAATATTCTATTTCTAGTGGCCATAAATTATTTGTTGATTAAAATAATGTTTTTTTACGTACGAAAAATAAATTAAGATATTTGCTTTAAAAAAATTTTATTTTTCACAGGGAATAAAATATCAGCGGATTAAAATGTCTATTTCTCCAAAAAATAAATTTATTCTTGTACTCCTTCTTTGTGATGTTCGTTTTAATACGGAATGTATTATATATCCAGTGGCAATAAATTATTTGTTGATTAAAATTAAATCCTTTTTTTGTGTACGTAAAATATTATATTTCTAGTTGCCATGTTCTGTTTAAAATTGTATATTTTTCAGAGCACGAAAAATATTTCTAGCAGCAATAAATTATTTGCGAATTAAAATGTCTATTCCTCCAAATGTTAAATATATTTCTGTATTTATTCATTGTGAATATATTAAATAAAATGCTTTACATATTTGATGTGTTAATATTATTTTTCCATACTGAGTCATTTAAATTATTCCTAACCCATGATAACTAGTATCTCTTATACAAGGACATTCATTAATGGCACATCCATGTTGCTCAACAACTCCCTTTTCTCTTCACTGCACTCATCACAATTCTGTTTGATTTAAATTCTTAACTGTCACGTTGGCACTTTCCCATTTCGTGTAAAAGTTGTATTGTATAAATTCCAAAAGGGCGCCCTTCCAGAGGGGGAAAAACCATGCCAGTCATCAAGTTGCAGTCCTCCGATGGCGAAATTTTCGACACCGATTCCGAAACTGCGAAATGTTCGAGCACCATTAAAACCCTGCTGGAGGATTGTGCACTGGAGGCGGAGAATGACCCACTTATTCCGCTGCCCAATGTGAATTCGACGATTCTGAAAAAGGTCCTCATTTGGGCCAAGCACCATAAGGGCGATAATGAGGAGGAAGCCGAAGGGGAGGCGGCCCGGCCAATGGTGGATATCAGTGCCTGGGATGCCGAGTTCCTGGCCATGGATCAGGGCACTCTCTTCGAGCTCATCCTGGCGGCCAACTACTTGGATATCAGGAATCTCCTTAATGCCGCCTGCATGACGGTGGCCAATATGATAAAGGGCCACACGGCGGAGGAAATTCGCCAGACCTTCCACATTGCCAACGACTTTTCGCCCTCGGAAGAGGATTTACGGCCCGAGGAGACCGAAGTTCCGGAGGAGGATGAGATAACCGAGTATGGCGATTTATAAATTTCAAGTGACTAGCTTAATAAATATTTCGGGGATACAAATTACAATAGGAAGTGCTTTTTTTACAGAAGGATTATACCGAAGCAGCCTTAAATATCTGATTATTTATTTAGACAAAGATAATGTTATTTTGTAGAAATCGTTTTCTCATTTAGAAGCTTTTTTGATTCTATCTTTCTATGGTTTTGTTGATTTTTCCTTGGAATATTTGCATATGCTAATGTATTCTTAATAAAAATGATGAAACAATGAATAAAAGGTTATAAGTCCAGAGTTTTCTGTTTTTTACAAATAAATGTAATATATTTCTTGCATAATTTTAAAAAGTTTCTTAAAACTTTTATAATTAAAGTAAAAGTATTTTCATAACAGATGTTTCCCAATGCTGAATAAGATTAAAGAAAATATTTCTTAAATTGCCTACAATGTTCCTAGAATTTTGGTAATTGATGTTGACTATTTGATTGGCACCTGGAATGACCTTTAGATAAGTAATACTATTTCCCTATCCACCACTGTTCACATTTCGTTGCGAATCCATTTCCATTTCCACTTGCATTTGTGCCAACCGTCTGGCCGAAAAACTTTCGATTGGAAAAGTTTGGCATGTGAATAATATGATGTGGGCAGAGGTCGGAAAACTTTGTCCTGGCGTTCACTCACCTGGTCAGCATGTTGGCCCGATTGACGGCCACCTCGGCCTCCACGCGGAATCTGTCCTGGGCATACCTATCGACCACGCCCTCGCCGAGATTCAGGGAGGTACCCGCCACGCAATTGGAGCCCATCAGGTGCTGCTGCTCGATGTACTGCAGGAACTTGGACACCAGATCGATCTTGCTGTCCCGGGCGTTGATCACATCGGCGGTTATCTGGCTGGACTCCATGTTCTCATCCGCCTCCTCCACGCCCTCCACATCGCCGATGACCAGCTGCTTGGTCTTGTCATCGATCTGCACATCCGGCGGATAGCCGTCGTCCATGGTGACCTCGGAGGTGTCCAGCAGGCCGGACTCGGAGTCGGAATCGGAATCGGAGCCATCGAAGCTGATCTGCTTGACCTCCATGCTGGCTACCTGGGATCTGGCCTCCGCCTCGGGCTCCCTGCCTCCTCGCTGACCACCCTCGTCCATCCACTCGGTGGTGCCGAGGCTTTCGTTGGTCTGGGACTTGCCAAATGGCTGAACATCCTCCTCCTCCTCCTCCTGCTCCTCCTCCAGGGCATTACTTTCGTAATCCGATTCCGAGGAGGAGTCACTGCGCATCCTACCCCTTCGCTCCCAAGTCCCATTCACTGGGAGAAGGCGGGTTCTGGCCATTTTGGGTTTTGTGGTGGTGGATACAGGCAGCTCCTCCTCCTCCTCTTCCTCCTCCTCCTCCTCGCCGAGGGGTTCATCCTCCTGCTCCTGCTCCCGCTGGTAATTGGCCTCATCACGCACAAATTGGCGCGCCTGCTTGACAACGATATCCGGATCACCTGTTGGGGCCACCGTGGCGAATGAACTCTCCAGCTCAATCTCATCCGCCAGCTGCATGACCTCGCTGAGTGCCGTGTCCTCGGTGTCCTCGGTGGCAGGACGACCCTGCAGATGCTCGGCCTCGGCCAGACTGCGATGGTTCTTGGGCGGATGGAGGAGGCCCAGACTCTTGTCCACACTCTTGCGAATGCTCTCGTTGATTTTCTTCTTGTGCAATTTGCGGATTTTATGCGTGACGGGAGCCGGGGATGTGCCCCCCGCCCCGGGCAACTGGGTGGGTGGGACCAGGAGGAGCCGGGTGGTGGGTATACCACCAGCACCTCCACTCCCACTGCCACTGCTGTTCGGGTGGAGGAAATGCGAACGAGAGCGCCCGTGGCGAATGTTGAAGCTGTCGCCCGTCATCAGGGCATCCGCTTCCGCCTTGATGCGGTTCCGAGATGGGGATGGGGTTAGGGATGGGGATGGGGATCCAGTTCCAGTTGCCGATCCCGCTGCTCCGGCTGTCTGTCCCACGGATTCCAACTGCGCCTGACCTTGCATCACCCACAAGCCCATCACAAACAGCAGCTGCACAGCCTGCGGCATCCACATCCACATCCGCATCCTGGGGCTCGGGGTTCTTGCTTTTTTGCTCCTCTTCTTTTTTTTCGGGGGACTCTTTGACTATATATACCCCTATATCGCTTAGTTACTCGCCTTGATTGGCTGATCAGCACTTTGTGTGCTGCGGTTATCGATTGGCAGGGACGGGGACTGCTGCTGCTGCTGCTGCTTTGCTACCTTTTGGCATTTTCAGTTGTCAAAGGCCGGGGCGCGAACATCACGCATCCGCACCGTGGTGCACGGCATCCGCTGGTTCGGGCGGATGGACTTGCGGAGGGCGCCCATTTTGCCCCTTCCACCCACTCGCTCGCCTTATGCTCTAATTTTCGGCGAAACGCTGAAACGGAAAAGAGAAAATCGAATGATTAGCCCCCGAGAGTCAGGATTGCGGAGAAAGAAAAATGAACGATGATGGACACGGTGAGATGAGTTTGCAAATGACACGAAAGAAAATATGGTGAGATGGTAATTGGGTAATACTTCAATAGTATCTTATTATAGAAAATTATAAAAATAATCGATTCAGCTCATAACTTAAGCAACAGCCTATAAGTCCAATCAATATAAAATCTGGGTTAATATTTTTTAAACAAAAAAATTTTAATAACGTATTTTCTTGGTACACCAAAATATTAAAAGCTAAGAAAGGATAGGTATTTGGCATAAAACATTGTAACAAATTTTCCAAATATAGATTGTCATACCGCCTGAAGTTCGTTACAAAATGTTCATTCGATTGAAATTTAAACGCATTTACTTAAATTTATAATTTTTTTAATATTATGCATAAAAAATAAAATTAAAATATATTTAAATTGAATTAGTCAAACAATTTATTTTTTTAATCCTAGCTAAGGCATTCTACTTTAAGGATTTACGACAAAAATCAAAGAACAAGATCCATTTGTTTATCCTTATGGTTTTTCTTTATTCCCCAGAGTTCTTTGTTTTTTTATTTTTCTGTATTTTCTGTCTTATTGGCCAACTAGATATTTAAATACCTAGTTAATAGTATACAAATATTTTTTTCAGTGTGAGTGCGGCAAAACCTTATTAAAAATCGCAGATATTCTCCTGGGATACGATTTTTTCCCACTATTTGGCCTGGCTTTTCGTTATTTCCCCCCTAACGATTCCAATTTCTTTATGCCCTCTGCTGCGTGTACGCTTTTCTAAAAGTAAGCAAAATGTTTTCTTTGAATTATGTTCATTTTTGTGTTGCGTACTGTAGCCTTGAACAAGAATGAAGGTCGCACTTACATTTTTTGCCAAATTCAGAGAAGGCAAGTTAGCGTAATCGGGCTGCCGGACCGGGATCTTAGCTGCGAAAGCATCTGGGGCAGAACAAAAAGTCATACTCTCAAATTTCGCTTTAAGTCGGCAATTAAAAATTTCCGCATCTGGGCAGCGGTAAAACAAACACAAATAAATAATTGTTTCCCCAAGGGTCGTTGAGTGAGGCAAGGCGAAAATTGCGCATACGCCGCGTGGCACCGCTGCATTGTGGCAGCCAAGTGCCTCCAGCACGCAAATTAAACGCGATTCCAAAGAAGTGCGCTTTGATTGTCAGCTGGGGGATTACGGGGGTAGAGGATTGTGGGGATTCGGGGAACCGAGGCAGCCAAGTGAACATAAATAAAAGTGTACGGCCACAGCTCGCATAAATATTATGGCGCTAACAAATTATATGCCATTTAAATGTAATACTAATTCTGAAAAGAAAATCCACTTGGCTGGACCAGATTTCTCAACGATGAGCAGAGCATAAACATTTTATACGCCGCACAAAAGGCACACACAAATATATAGTATATGGTACACGTATACTATATATTATATCTCAGAGACAGGCAGCACCAGTTCTAATTTCGAATTTTATGAGCCATAAAAATTTCTTCAAGGCGAAGCCAAACATCAACAGACAAACAACAAGCACAGTGGCACAATGGATGATAGAGGTTGGATGGGGAGAAAGTAGAAATGTGGGGTGGCTTTGGGGTGGTTTAAGGATATAATGGCCACGGCAGCCAGAGTAATTGACACTCCAGCCACATGGAGGTGTGACTCTCACTTTTCAGCCCGGGATCATGCGGCACTATGTATGATTAGTGCAGATTAGGTTGCACTTTATGGGACACTTTAAAGCTTTAGTTTAGATTTATTCAGTGCTGGAAACGGTGATGTAGGTAAATGTTAACCTTAGATTAAGTGAAATCCCTCCATTTGCCAAAGCACTTGTCGATTTTAAGCAGGCCTATTTTAAAATGATTTGGAGAGGAAAAATTTGGAGAGGATAATTCAATAACAGAACAATAGATTTAAAATCAATTTATTATAACTGGCGATTATACCAAGTATCACTTCTTTAAAATCGGATTCATTTATAGGTATAAGGTTGTCTATAAAACCATAGTTGAATTAAGGTTAAAATGAATTATAGATTTTTAAAAATAAATAAAGTTCAGATCCAACTTTAAACCGGATGTTAAAAAATTTATTTCACATATAATCGGACATCTATACACAATATCCCTATGCTTCAAACTTTATCCTGGCATAAACACAGTTTGTGAATTTTATTTTCGGTGCTCACAATTGCAATGCCAAAGTTCATGAATTTTGTATATGCAAGTATCGCGGTTTGGGTGTGGTAGGTACCAATCGAATCGGACTATAAATAAACAATTGACATTCCCGGGGCGTGAGGCTGCTAGGATCTATTATTCATAAAGGCCACAGCAAGTCAAAGGGGTCCCCAACCAGAAAAGGACATCTAAATCGGGCTCTTTTTTGCCAGGGGCTTTGCTGTCGGACAATTGGAAATGGTGTCTCTGGAGGAGAGAAGGCCAAAGTTTGATTCCGGTTCCGGGCTCCACAGACAGGGCTAATGCATTACGACAAACGAGCGGACAGCGGGGGGTTAACGGTGACACTCTCATGCACTTAACCCATGACACCCGACCAGACCACCCAAAATCCAACTCAGCATGCGGGCAGATGTGAACCCGTTGACAGCGCAACTTTCTCTTTTTTCCGGCAGCAACCCTTCGTCACAGGTGAGTGGCTGCTGATGCAGGTAGCCCGTCCCGCGACCCCTGACCCCTACAGAATGTTTTAAAACTAACAATCCAATTTCCAGCGAAGAGCAATTGCATCTGCCACTGAACTGGGAGTAGGAGTGTGCTTAGTCTGATTAATGCCCACGGCCGGTCCTTTGCCCAGCCAACTTTAAAGCAATTGGATTGTCCAGTTCAGAAGGCAAGGTTTTCTATTCCACAGAGAGAACAAACATATTTCCAGTGTAAGGTAGGTAAAGGCGTTAATTATTATATAATAAGTTTTTTATGATCCTCCAAGCTTTGTTAATTTTCTTCAATGAAACTTTAAAGTCTAGAATCTCTTTAAAACTTTATAGTCTAGAATCTCTTTAAAGTATTTTATTTTGTAACACAATTTTTGAGAACTATAAATGCCAAGAAAAATTGTTTTTTGCTGTATAGTTAAGGAACTTGATAATAATTTATCAATTACAAATTCCATAATCATTTTAATATTATTAGTGTCGTTATTTAATTATATTGGTTAAATCTTTGATTTTGCTTTTATAAGTTTCTGTAGGTAAACTTTACAGTCTGAAGTACTTCAAAAACTAAAAGTTGTGGTTAGAAATTCTTATTGGATATTCATCGAACAACTATAATATTGAAACTTTGTATTAAACTTTGAAAGTTAATATTATTTATATGGCCTAAAGCTATATTGTTTCTTTGTGTTTTTCTTTCTGTGTGATACACCCAAAACAAAACCCTTGAAGAGTGTGTTGTTTTTGCGCTGCTTTCCTATAACCATTCACTCAGGCCCCAAAACACATCCTAGTCTCAGTTTTTCCCTCTTTTCCTCTCCCGAAAATTTATGCAAACGCATTAACAAACTCAACGCATTTGCTTTGCATGAGTGTCCTTGCTGCTGCCGGTGACAAAGTTGGAGCGTTAAATGAAATTCGGGTAATTTTTCTGTCGTTGCCAAAGAAAGAATGAAATGTCTTTTGCCAAAATAGCAAAAGAAACGGAAGCGGAAACAGAACCCGTCAAAAAGGAGATTCAGGTAAAACAGGTGAATGCAGCTCTGCGAAGTGGTAATACTCTAGAATGAACATTTTCTTAGAATATTATTTTAAAATTAAATTAACAACATCAATCTTAAGATAAATATAACAAAAATTCTTTTAAAAAGCTGCACAAAAATTGTGTTTAAAATAAGAGACTTTAAAAATGCTGCAATAAAAATTAGACCTTATCACAACCAAAAAGGCACATTTCTAAAAAGTTGTTATAAAGTGACTTTAAAATAAACGATTTCCTTTTAAAAAATGTTGTGTCAATATGGGTGATTTAAGGCAATGATATCATTTACAGAAAATACAATATTTTTAAGTGAAGTCAATTTTAATAACTTTTAAGTATGTGGGTGTATAGTTTTACCAATTTTAATCGTTTTATATGAAGTTATGTCTTTAAACCAAAGACAAACCATCTACGTTTTTTTATAGAACTAAATTCAATGTTTCTAGGAAAGCATTCCTAAAATGTAGTACACCCTTTGGGAAAGGTATTCCAAGAGGCTGAAATGGAAATGGCGGCTCGTCACCTTCTGTTTTTTTTCCGTCGTCGTCAACTCATCAGCAGGGCCACCTTTGTTAGGTAATTCACATTATGTGTCGGCAATGGCGTAAAAAAAAATAAAATAAAAAAAGCACACAGCAACAAACAAAAAGCACCGTGCAAGGAATACGAAAAAATGACATTTGACTTTTAAATTGGATAATTTTTTCTGGCTGCCTGGCTGACTGGCTGGTTGCCAATCAACGGGAACGAAGGAAAGGAAGGGTCCTCCAAATAATATAATATGGACTGTAATTGATTTTGATCAGAAGCTGATAAATACACAGTAGACAAAGAAGATTGATTATAATTTCGACTCGATGCGAAAGCAAAGCCTGCACATGCATCCGAAGGATTCAGTGTGTGATCCCAGAAAGATGCTGCCAATTTGCATACAAATGATGCAGAAAACTCACTTTGAGAGTCACACACACCCACACACCCACTGCCGAGCTCATCTGGAGTGTGTGTTCTTTACAGCCACTAATACTAGCTACAAAAATCACATAAAACGCTAGCAAATTGCTCAGATTATGAGCCACTTGGGCTTGGCTTTCCTTTCTCGGCTTTTCCTCCAAGTGGAAAAACGTGGAAAATGTGGAAAAGCGGGGTGGTGTCGCTAAGGCTGCGGATGAGGTGCCGTGTGCGCTGCGTTTTTATGAGCTGGCAAACATGC